GGACAATATTGAGCAATGTATTTAGCTTCTCCATAATATAAGTATAAGCCTTCTTGACATTGTCAAGTCTTTTTTTGCTTTGTGAGAAATTTAAAACGTATCGTATCAATTTGTATTAGTTTTGGCCTTCATGAATAAGTTTTTGAAAACTTAAAAGCTACCATCATTATTTGATTTATTCTTCTCTAGCCAAATATTTTTTCTTGACATCTTTCAAATAATCAATTCTTACATAGAATAGCTTAAGTAATAAATTATTTTAAAGATTTTACCTTTAATATTGTCAGTAATAAATCTTTAATATTATCTTTCAATTTATATCAAAATTCATTGATAAGGGCTTTGTCATTTCAATCCACATTGCAAGCGAGATTTTAGAATTCATCACCAGATATGGTGGTTGATCGTGATTCTTGTTATAAAGATAAGAGCTTAGTCTCTACTATTCTTTTTTTATCACTTTCTCAAAATGTGGCCGTAAAGACTACTGAGAATGAATTTAAATCATAAAGGAATACAAATTCTTTTCTATTAAAGATACAAATTAAGAGAAAGCACTTTCTGATAGAAGTGTGCCTATGAATCCAACTTGAGTAAATCCATTGAGATATTGGAAAGAATGCAACCTTAGATAGAACTTGAATTCTTACAAAAATCTTCAAAATTTTGATCTTGTTCCATTAAATCTCTCAAGTGTACTAATCCTTATCTTTATCATACTTGTAGAAGCAAAATTCCTTGGATTTGGTTGTGAAGTTGATCTACTTGCTTTTTTCAACTGCACAACTTCTTGCTGTAGACTCTAAACTTCTTCTAGAAATGTAAGTATAGTACATCCATGATTCGCATTAGAAATATGTGAGATTTCTACTCTTAGAGTATTGACAAGTTCATAAAGATCTACAATAGTTGTAAATCTATTATCACTTTTGTTGAGAGTAACATCCATAATCTTTCCTTTCATAGACATTCAAATAAATTCAATAAGTTAAATTAGGAGAGGATAATCTGCAACCTCTAATATCAAATGGAATTTCTACAAAGAAAAGTAATCCACTTTCTTTAAAGAAAAGATCAGTGATAGAAAATAAGATTTATTTTTTATTTTTTATTTTTTTTTTAAAGGTGGATAGTTTACAATCTTCAAAATATAATAATAGAAGAGAGGTAATTCACTCACTTCTAAATCAAGATAGAAATAGTAAGTTAGCACTCTTACCAAATTGTCAAAGATATGAATCTCGAAGAATTGAAATGACAAAGCTCTTATCAACTATTACTAAAAATAAGAAACTAAAGAGTCTTGAAACAAGACTAAGGACTAAAAAGGCATGGAAAAGGATGAAGAAGGCTTCAATCTTGCCTCCATATATACTCTTAATTAGGAGCTACATGGTGATATCTTATAAGACCTCTAAAACGTGTCGACTTTACAAGATACGTATCTTAACTTACAAGACAAGTTTTCTATATGTGTGTCATATAACTAGCTTGTTTTGCAAGCTACTAATACGTGATTAACTTAATGACCAAGTTTCTAGCTTACCAATCAACTATAAACATATGTAAAGTCAAAGTAATATCTATGAAGCATCTAAGAAGCTTCTTTAGAAGGTATTATGAAATTAACCTACTTTTATCTACTTTTATTTATTTCTATCTAATCATATAGGTATTTATTAGAATATGTATGTATATTTATGTTTATATATATATAAATATATATTTTATGCTCTTTTATGCTCTTAGAATAGATTAAAATATTTTCTAAATAAAAGATAATAAAATTATTTAATTTTTTTAAAAAAAGTATTATTCATAAGATATTTAAAAATAATTGATGTATTTGTGAGTCCAAAAGGTATGACAATATATTCAAAATGACCATATCTAATTTGAAATGTAGCTTTCTATTCGTCTCCTTCTTTGATGCATACTAGATTGTGCACTCTTCAAAGATCTATTTTTGTATAGATCTTTATTTGATTCAATTAATCAAAAAGTTCAGATATCATAGGTAGAAAATATCTATTTTTTATGGAAATATTATTGAATCTTTAATAATCTACACACATTTGCAATAATCTATGTTTTTTTCTTTTTAATAAGATATGAGTTCTTTTTGGAGATTTGAATAGCATATAAAATTCTTGGCCAAGTTTTTTTAAATATACTCCTTGAATTCAGCAAACTCATTTTATAATAAACTATAGACTAATCCAAATGACAATTGAGCTCTCTCTTGAAGGTCAATTGAATAATTATAAGAACAATGTTTTGGAAGAATATTAGCATTTTTGTTTTCAAAAACATCTTGATAATCTTAATATTAACTTGAAATACCACTTGGAGTCTTTTTATTACTAAAAATAGGTGTAGGATAAATAATACAAGGTGATCCTTCTTATGGACCATGAAAGAAAGCTCTTACACTTACAAATAAAGATTTGGTTGTATTAGACTTATGAATTTTTACTTTGTTGAAAAAACTCTTAATTTTACTTTAACAACTTTGAAAAGAATCAATACTATAATTAATCCAATTTATTCAAGGATTATATTATTCTAGCTACAATAAATTTGAAATGATAAAAGAGATCTAATTATATTAAATATCACCAAGATATTATAATCATTAATTACTATTTTTATATGAAAGATTTCATGAGTAACATCTCTAAAAGATAATAGACGACAATCAATGATTTCTATATGAATAAGTTTAGTTTTTTTTTATTAAAGGTATACTATGAATTTTTAAAAACTCTTTATTTAAAAAACAAGTTGAGGCTCTTGAATCTAGTAAGACACAAAATATAATTATAGTAAGTTTTAAAAGTATCATACCAATTGTTGATTTGAATATTTTTTTTATATTTTAACTTTAAAGTCAAAAATATATTATAACAATAAAAAAAACCAAAAACCAAAGTTTATATAAGCTAGTTTTTTAAAAATATTTTATATAAATTAATTTGTCTTTATTAATCAAGAAGATTTGGACAAAATGATTTTTCAACCACATTTACATGATTATGCTAGGTCTTTCTTATATTTTAATTTAAATTAGTATAGTTCATTTTTTAAGTAAAAATTTAAATAATGCCTAAAAATAATTATAAATATACAAATTTAGACTAAATTTACAAAAGATTGTCAAATCTTAACATTAAAGAAATCATTAATAATACATATAGATAAATTATTTTAGAGATACATATTTTAAAAATTAATTTTTGATTATATGTAATAAATATAAATTTCTATTTATAAATTATAAATGGATAAAATTTATTTTATTCTTTGAATTTTTATACTAATCTTAAAAAAGATATCACAAATTATGACTTCTAGATCTTTATAGGATCTTATAAATTCTTTGTTTATAATTTTTTTTAATACAATAGCAATTTCTTATACATGCTCTAATCCTCGTAAAGATTGTTAAATTGGCAAGTATAGATTAAATATTATTGACTTATTGCATAAAAGTCTTTCTATATTTTGATGAAGGTTCTTGGTCAATTATTTATAGTTTGTCATAATTATGTTTTTTTTTTTTTTAATTTTATTAATAACATTTATCATTATCTATGATGTAAATTTTTTTTCTTGTAGTATCTTTGTATTTATTTGCAATAAAAAATATTTAGTAAAATATTATTAAGAGTATATAATCAATATTTAAATTTTAAAAAATCATCAATATTTACGATTAAAAACCTATAATATCAACATAAATAATTATTACATTGAATATACACAATTTTAAAGTTAATTTTGAATAATAATTGGACTACAAACAGGAGACACACAAATATTTTATGATGACATTCTGAATATAAGTGATAGAAGTATATACAAAATAACACAATTCTTTGAAAGATTGTTTGAACAGAAAAACATTTCAAATAATTTGTAAACCTAGTTTGAAAGTAGTTAAATTTTCAATAAAGAAATGACACATAAAATTGTTCAACATTTATACCAATTTATAACATAGTACAAAAAAAATCCTTGTGAGATTATTTTTATCTTACATATATTTTCTAATATTTTGGTTAGATAAATATAAATAATTTAACATCATACTTCAATAATTTGATTCTTTATTTATGTGAATTTATATTCAATTCTATATAAAATAAAATTAAAATTAAGAGATAAAAGATAAAAAGTAAGAATAAAACTACCTATCAACTCCATATAAAAATAGTGGAATGTTAAATAGACTCATGCTTTTACTAAATAGATCCACCCATGATGAAGAATATGATAATCATGATGAATGTGATTGTTTTTTTTTGGTTGTAGATCCAATAATGGGAAAATGAATCTAAAAATCATTATTTTTTTTCATGATGATTAGGATGGGTGGATTTATTTAGTAAAAATTTGGGTCTATTTCACATTTCCCTAAAAATATAGTGTTTGTGTGTCTAGTAAAATCACTGATATTGGTATACTGTGGTTGTTAACATCATTTAAAATTAGTGATTGGCACCATATAAAATCAGTGATTTCAGGTTATTGCAATCATAATACAATCACTCTAGTATTCTTATAAAATATGTACATAAAAAATAAATAAATAATATTTTTTATTTCATTTAATGGATCCTTTTAGATCATGTTTAGTGTGTTGACACCAACCGATAACTGGTAGTAACACGACTGACCGCGATCCAAACCACTGCCCCATTGAGACCATTGTCCTCGGGCTCCATTCGGATATCTACCAATTCCAAACGGATATATGTGGGGTATAGGCCTTGTTATACACCGAAGCTCATCCCGGACGTACCAGGGCTTGTGAATGCAGGTTCTCAATCAACTCATCCCAGACTTGGTCAGATCTTCGAGTGAAAGTTCTCAATGGACTCAACCCCGATATAGTCTAGACTTGGTACTGGAGGTTCTCAACTAACTCATTTTGGACATACACAGGTCTTGTGAATTGCGGTTCTCAATCGACCCCTGTCATTGAGGTACAAGGGGAGCAAAGCGCCGGAATTTTGTCCTCTCGCTCGACGCATCTTCTCGAGCACTGACGCTCCATCGCCTTCGCCATCGCCTCGCGCGACCGAAGCCGCTCGGAGCCATGTTGATCCCCAAGAAGAACCGTGTGGAGATCTACAAGTACCTCTTCAAGGAAGGCGTCTTGTACGCTAAGAAGGACTACAATGCCCCCAAGCACCCCGAAATCGATGTGCCTAACCTCCAGGTTATCAAGCTCATGCAGAGCTTCAAGTCTAAGGAGTACGTCAAGGAGAACTTCGCCTGGCGCCACTACTACTGGTAAGATGTGTCGTTTTCCCTTTAAGCGCCTTGGGATACGTGACATAGTTCTGGAGCGTTGTAGTTTCTTTTCTTTCTTGTGGTTGTGGTTTGGTCATCTTTTGCCTACTGCACCCCCGGCCCCCACGATGGGTTCGTGAGTGCTCTGTTGTTGGCGGTTCGAGGGGTGGTCTGCGAGTAGATTATACGGGTTTAGAAAGTTTCTGTTGCACGGCTTCTGAAACCTGGAAGCTTATCCTTCGAACCTAACGGAGGTCATTGATCTTGTTGGTGGGGTTGGTGAGCTTTGTTGGATGTATTAGAATTTCAGTCTGCTTTGCATGATGCCTTTGAAGCAGTGACTTGGATGCAAAATTTTAGGGTTTGGGATTAGATAAGGAGAGGTGGTCAATTGACCCCCAGTGTATGCTAGAAAAGTTATGTTCACTTTTTTAGGGTTTTGGCATACCTTATGGCTGATTCAAGTTCTTTGTTTGGGTTCACCCCTGATATTTCATGCCAGGTTATTATCATAAATTTGCCTTCCTTAATCATTGCAACTGATGGTTACACGATTAGACTCTAAGTTCAAATGATTATCTATCGAGATGACTAAAACATTGGATTACTCGCTAATTCTTATGATCGCAGTGCTGCTGGGTGCTAGAAGGCATTGTCCTTTATCTCATTGCAGTGGTTCGTTATCCTCTTTGGCAGGTACTTGACCAATGACGGCATTGAGCACCTCCGGACTTACCTCAACCTTCCATCTGAGATTGTCCCCGCTACTTTGAAGAAGTCTACTCGTCCCCCAAGCAGGCCAATGGGAGGTGCGGGTGGCGATAGACCTCCCCGTGGTCCTCCCAGAGATGGAGACAGACCACGATTCGGTGATAGGGAGGGTTACAGAAGCGCTGGCCGTGGTGACAGTGGGTTTGGTGGAGACAAAGGTGGGGCTCCCGGTGAATACCGACCAGAGTTCAGAGGTGGACGAGGTGGTTTCGGACGTGGAGGTGGAGGTGGAAGTGGAGGGTTCGGTGGCGGTGCCCCGGGCGCCATAACGGAGTAGGGTGTCGCACTTCTACTATCATCCCATTGCTCCATTTTGGAGTGTCGTGGAGATAACACATTGGACCAGTCTCCGGATTAGTTGGGTTCAGGTTGTCGAGCGGAAAAGCCACGCTGTGTTGCAGTTTTGTTATTTCTGATGAGGTTCAACGATGTGAAAGTGCTCTTCCATTTTTTGCGGCTTCGAGCATCGATGAGCTGAGATGAATGTGTTACATGATATACCAAAAGCAATGAAATCCTGTTAGATTTTTCCGTTCAGTTATGGTGACAAAGAATTATTGTGGATTAACTACTTTGATGCTGATTTAGGGCTCAGTGGATACGTTGGCAGCTTGTTCTTCTTTTGTACAATGGATAGGTGGACACTGCCGACGCATGGAACCGATAAAACAATGTTTCACTTTAACGTCTCAACCTTGTAATAGAAATTTCAATTTTACTGTCAATTTTCATTATGAAAACAAGTTGCAATGGCACTGATTGTACATATGTTCTCAATTAAAATTTGGAGAAGCAACGAAGTGGGCTTACGGGAACATACTCCAGCAGCTTTCCCTCATGAAATTATATCTTTTCTTACAGGTATACATGTTGCGATCTTAACCTCGTAGACATGAGAAGTGGAAAAATACAAGTTTTATTGTGCTAGCTAAAGGCAATGTACTCTGTAAGCCCCCACATGTTGGGATGACGGGTATGAGAAATAGAAACAACTAATTTGTTACATGAGAAATGGTATAGGTGTTCAGGAAGGTGCAAAAAGCTTAGTTTGAATTAGAGGCCTGAGTATCTGATTGGTGAGGAATTGGAGATGTAGAGAAATGTAACCTGGGAGCCACAGTTGAATATTTTACTGCACCAATATTCAGTAAATTCTACGCTCAGTAAGATTTCCATCACCCTAGAACCCAATATCTACCACGTCTTACATGAGCTTGTGACAGAAGGTTTCGTTCAAGCGTGATGCTAGTGTATACCAAGATCATATTTGAAAATTTAAAAATTGGCGTAGATGACGCTGAAGCATTTGAACTTTTGTTTCGGTGAGTTTACCCTCGTAAAGAACCCCAGCTGGACCGCTTCTGAAAGACCAAACATAGCGAAACTCAGGCTTTTATTCTTGATTTTAGACAAGACGTGTACATTTGTAGAAGTGGGTGTGACAGCAAAATGGGAAAATTGGAGAACTGGGTAACTAGTACCTGCATGGTCTACAAATTTCGTAGAAACACAAATTATGCGTAAACAGGACAGCGCATTGAAGAGATTCAAGTCTTGTCTAGATTGCACGTAAGGCCATTTGCAATGCGATAAAATACACAAAGCACGCCGACTTACTTGAGATGATGGTGTAGCTGTTGCTTTCTTTGGGCCTGCATCTGCCTCATCGTCATCATCCTCAACGTCGTCGTCGACATAAGTACTACGTCCTCCCCTCGAGGACGAGCTGGATGCTGCTCCTCGTTTAGAACCAGCAGCACCTTTTCTTCCCCTCTGGGATGTTTTTGAGTTCGTTTTTTTCTGCAGATTAACCTCCCAGGTTAGATTTATTTCATGGAAGGGCAATAATTAGATTGACATTCCCAACCGTCTTATTAGTTTTATCTTAGCTGCAGCAATCATTTACTTACAATTTTAGGGGCTGGTTCCTCATCCTCTTCTTCCTCATTGTTTTCATCATCATCATCGCTGATGGTTTCCATTCGTGAAGCCCTGTAAACACAAACCAACGCTTTCATTAAGCAATCATAACTAATGTGGTGTCGAGTGCTTTTGACAATAAAACTCCGGTATATACAAAACATTCAAGGATCTCTCAGCACCTGCAAGCGGGCAAGCTGCTTTGACAGTCTAGCACTAAAAACAGACGCATCTAGGGTTTTACATTATACTGAGGTCCCAAGACTTTTGTTCAGCTCAACATGGGGAAAGATTATGATCCAAAGCATGATACTAGTTCGGACTCCAAATTCTCACCTTCTAGGAGGTCGGGGCACTGGAACGACATTCAGCGTTGTCTGCGTAAGACCTCCTTGAGAGGCTCGCCCTCTTCCTCTTCCTCTACCCCGGCCTCGACCGCGGGGGGTTTCCGTATCTTTCTGCACAGCTCTGCTGGCAGGTGCTTTTCGTTTTGCTGGTGTTGAACTCTCCGGAACATCGTCGTCATCAAAAGGCTCATCGTCGTCATTCCCTTTCCTGCTTGTACCTCCCTGCTTGAAAGTTCAAATATCAGATGGCAAGTTAATTGGACATGTCGGAGCATATGTAAGAACTAGATCAGGCTACCCGTGGGGGACGTAAGCTTACACGCCAATCGAGGATATAAATCAGCTCACAAGTTATCACAACTGGTACTAGAAAAGGCATTGCAAATAGGAATTGATGGTAAGTGTAAAGTTATAGGTGACTTGAGAGCACCGACACTGTCGAATTGGTTAAAAGGAACTTTACCTGGGACGTCCGGTGCTGTACACTTGAAAGAGGGTCACCAGAAGAAACGGAAGTCAACGTTTCTTTATATCTAGGGATTGATTCTTTCTCACGTTGCTGTAGATCCAACAGGCCCATGCAATATTATTATTTTGAACTAGTATCTCATGTCAATCAGCTAATTAGTTTACTTTAATACAAACCGAAGACAAATGCGACTGCAAAATGCAGATCAAGCCAATAATTATAAGCGCAACATCGTAGGATCAAGTGCAATTTTCAACTCCAGATATCATTGGCATTAGCAGTAACACTGGCTCTGAAAATTATACTGATCTAGCAATGACTAAACAATGCCTTGTACCTGCATATGTTCGCTCACTTTCACAATCACATCGTCTTCCTGGAGCTTATCAGCAAGGGCTTCCTCAGCAAGCTTGTTCTGTAAAACACCATGTTAGATCAGTGTTGTGAAGTACAACCTATGTTAAAACCTGCATTTGCACTCAAATTACTGTTCGAGTTCTACTAACATTGCAGCACTTCTGCATCTGTCAATCGATTTGGTAGCAAGAGACTCCAATCTCTTTAGTGGGCACACGATGGTAACTCAACACACGCAAACTAGTCTAGAATTTAGAATCCTACAAGATTTTCGCAAGTGAACGTACTGCCACATATATACATAAAATGGTAGAATTTAAAACACGGGTGCTTTACAATACCCAACAAGAGTTTTAAAAAATGTAATTGCTGCAAGATGTACCTGTGTGTCATCTAGATTCTCTTGAACACACTCGATGAACGCAAGCTTGTCATCTTTACTTACAAACTTATGTAGCGCCAAGCCTAGTTCAGAGACAGGCAGAATCTCCATTTTCTGCCACAGTGACAACGCAATAGCATCACAAAAACATAGGTCCAACCATCTAATGCAACCGAAGTTTCAATTTGCCTATCATCCGCCATAACTGACAAGCACCTGCTAATCCTTTCAGCAAAGCTCATGTTAAGCAATCAGGTTCATTCAAAGCAATACAAGAAATAAGTACTGACCAAATTGCTCTCAGCAAGGAGAGCCTCAATATTTTGTTGGTTCAACTCTTCAGGCCGTAGCTTTTCCTCATCTTCAATTTTCCCTGAATACATCAAGTCATACGAGTTTCTATAACTTTTCACAGCACACTGTGACCTGAACAGAGCAAATTTTGTTTATACACAAGACCGATTTGTATCTAATGTGGAACAAGTTTAAACAAAATGTCTTCCAAAAACGATTCCAATTCCAGATTGGTATTAATTAAATAACTTGCTTGACAATCCGCTTCAAGACCATGAGAAGAAAGGAATCAAACCATCAGCAGTAGGTCGCCTTTTCACAGCTTTTGTAAATAGAAGAATATCATGAGGATTAGCCACCTAAAAACATCAGATTAGACTTTTAGGTATCCCTCTCATGAGCACCAGAAAAGTGATCCAGATGAAAGCAAAGCGATGCAGAAAAGAGAAACAGTCCAATCAAATCGACAAGAGAAAAAGTGTAATTGATCAACCTTTCCAACAAATTTCTGTCCAAACCGCTGTGGATTGATTGTTGTGAAGCCTGTGTAATCTACCTGTAAAAGATACATAGGAAACCAGTGAAGTTAATGACACTGCTGAACCATCAAAGCACGCACCAAATGTCATACCAGTAAAAACACAACTGTAAGAATCGTGATAAATATTCCGCCAATGCCGCAGAAACACTCGAGGAATCGTGAAAATGCTTACCCTCAAACGCACCAAGGGCAGCATAGGGTCAGGGTGTCCTTCCTCCGCAGCTTCTGCTATCAGATCATGCACCTAGAAGAAGGGTACATCCAAACTCTCATTCGTTTGCCGTGCATCCACAGCAAAAAACTTGAACCACCTACTTGAACTAGATTCAGATCTCAACGTTGCAAATTACATATGTAAATGAGACAGAATCGAGAGAGGACAGAATATTATTATCACACACCATTTGACTAAGGTGATCCATAACAGATTGTACGTCATTTGCATCCAGATCCGCAGCATCTTGCAGGGACACCTGAAAACAAGCCACAAGTAGGGATTCAATTTTTTTCTCATAAACAAAAAAAACACTCTTCTGCTCAATGCATCATGTAGAGTAACTACTCTGTAAGAATCCTAATGCTCTAGGAATAAAGTCGCCGAAACAAAGAATATTAGAGTCAGCAGTTTAGAACAAAAATAAAAGGGCGTGCGTTGCCAACTTATGATCGATGTTGTGCCATCGTCACATAGAATCTTCTACCCCAAGCCAGAATAGCAGCGGGGAAGTACAAATTCTGCACCGTGAGATATTCGTTCCATACTACTGTAAAAGTATTACATATTCATAGACCAAAAAAATAGACGATTTATAGACCAACTATGTGAAAAGAGAATAGTTTAGAAGTAAGACGATGTCTTTACTGATGTACTCTATTACTTACGTTCTTATACTTGAATGGTCTGACAGATTTCAGAGGGACCTTTGTTGGCCGGTACTCATTACCCTGCAGCAAATATAATACATCTACAATTTTCAGTACCTTGGCACTTCCTCAAAAGTCAATTGGAACATTCCCAACCACCTGCCTGTACTTGACTGAAGTTGCATATTCCACATCTTAGTAGTAAGTTCCAATAAACAAAGAAGCAAATAAAAAAGATTAACTTCTAATAAAAAGATGAATAAAAAACCACATCTAATCTGGATCACAAGTACCTTGATTTCTAAGAGGAGGACATGCTTAGGTTTAGATTCCCCATCAATAAGCGAAGTAGCCACGGATGAGCCAGGTTGTGTAATATGAAAATCCATCCCCAATACTTCCTGCACGCTACCACAAGATTCAGCAAAAAACCAGAATCACTAAAAAAAACCAAAAAAATAAAATAAAACAAAACAAAAAAGAAAAAGAAAAACTCTCCTCCTGGCTAATACTGCGGCGTTCAAGTCATTTACTGATGAGTCAGAAGTTTGAACCAACAATCTAGAGGAGTTCACATGAGGTTGTGAAAGCACCTGTGGATCCACGAGGCACTCGTGCTCATGACCCCATACCACAAAATCCAAGAATTTAGCCAACATATGCTCATTTATAGCATTTTTCGGGTTGGCTTTTACCCTGCGTGAAAAGCGTCATCCCACGGCCGATGAAAACAATGCTCATAACGCGAGATGAGGCTCAAAAATGGTTAAACAAGAAGATAAGTTTTGCTTACCTATTTTGATGCAGAACAAAGATGTTGAACCAATCGGAAAAAGGACAGTCGTCGGTACTTTCAGGGCGAATCCATTGTACAGCATGTGGAGTCTGCACTGAAACAGTGCCAGTTGAAGTTAAACTTGCGTAAAAATCAGTTGCTGAAGGTTGTCTGCAAAATTAGGTCGACTTCTGGGCAGATTATACGTTCGTGCTGATCAATAGGCAACTGATGCTTGCAGAAGAGAGCACACTTGTGCACCAGTTTTTGACATTTGAAACCAAAAGTAGATAAATGTCCTAACCCTACATGTTAATGCTGATTCCCGTATTCATATCTACGGTGTCCACAATATGTCCCCACACTCGAATAGATAGTACTAAAAGGTATTTTATAGTGAATAATTTAAAAAGGCATCACAAGATTGAAGGCATAGATATAGAAATAACAAGAACATAGGTGCCCGTATCCTCCCACTTCCAGCTCACAAGCTGCCTAGGTTCAGAGTTCTTTGTCTTCTACATTACTTGACTCACCTGGAACATACGATTTAGGCGCTCATCTCGAATGTTCCCAAGACCATAGAGAGCAACATTGGTGGAGCCCTGAGTAAATAATTCAGCTGTAAGGAAACCTTGATGGAGAAATGGTGCACACGTCACATCTCCCATCCACATATATGCATACAATAGAAACTCGGCTGGTGGTTGGACAGCTACAGGCCACCACTTACCTTTCGCAACAAAATTGGATGCAAGGCAATGTTGCCTACGCCGTTACCTCCAAGGGCAACTTTTCCAAAATAATTAACAAGATTGCAGGCTGCTAGGATATCAATTGCAGACAGATTATCCTACAACCACAGAGCAAAGCATGCATTAGAGACAATAGGTGCAATAAGAATAATAAAGGCCAGACCAAGTATGCCAGGGACAACTCTCACCAAGAGAAATAGTGATACATCAGAAGCACGGAAGTCTATCGTCAACGAGTTAGTAAACTACCCACAATAAGAGATTCTGACTAGAGTACATCCAGAGAAACGAACAATTACAAAATTAAAGCACGTAGATGGAAAAAGGAAACCAAACATACCACACCAGCTGGATCGTCATGGTTGCCATGAATAGTGAAAACCGGCAACCCCACATTGAAATTCGGATCCTCATAGTTGACAACTCCAAATCTTAGAAATCACCCGCACACAAGTATCAGTTCACGCCACACTCATATTATATCATGCTTTTCCGTCAATCTTAAGTCATGGCTGGATATTCCTACACAACCTCTAGTCGAGCCATTTCCATGAGATATAGGTGTGTTGGCTTAGGTCATAAACAGAAGTTGCTAACAAATGTTTGTGATGTATTGAATCCTGTTACAACAGGTTCCTGCTGCTTCTGTTCTTTTTATTCTATATTTTGTTCAACTCAAAATTATAATTGCAGCACTTCTCCGAAGGAAAGGGCATTGAGATGATGCAACTATCTAGTGAATCCAGAATTGTGCGTGAGCTAGACCACGTTTCATACATAAGAGGAAGAAAACAGAAACAGCGACACGCAACGTTGGACACGCTCAAGACAGAACCGAGAGGGATACAGTGTGGCACTGCAAGTGGGAAGCATACTTATTGGGGAAGTTGATGGTTTGGTCGCTAACAACTTGGAACTGAATTGGCTTGTCATTCATGCAATATTTACGAAGAATTTCAATAGTGCGCACTAGGGTCGAGCGAGAGGGCTTGTTTTCGTGGAATAAGTCTCCTCCTAAAAGCACAAAGTCCACCTGAAGACATAGACAAAGAAGCGCTACAAGTCACTTCCATAATAACACCTCTTCCTACCCACTACTGCAGATTGCAAGATCAAATCTTAAATTATCGAATCATGCATTGTATTCCTTGCATTCGTACGCACAGATACTAACCTTGTTCAAAGCCTTAAGCTCAATTCAATCTCACCAGCACTGTAACCTCTGATGATTTCCAACAGCAAGTTGTGCCATAATGATATTTTTTTTAAAATTTAAATTCAGAGAGATGAACGGCACAATAGGCGAATAAAACTTAAGGCCAAGCTCACAGATGAAAGGAACCAAACCTGACGTTGTGAGGCAATGGAACATATCTCTTCAAAGGCATTAAAGGAGTCGAAGCGACGAATCTCATCATTTTCTAGATAGCCTACATGACAATCAGTCGCCACCAAAATGCGTAGAGTGTTCGTATCTGCCGCCCTGAAAAGAGCACATCTCCATGTAAATACAATGTACATCACTGCCTCTACTTAGCTTAAGTGAAAATTTTGAGCGGTTAGAAAAAGGACCTCCAAAAGAAATTAGAGAAGCTTAAAAGAAGATTTCTTGATAATCTTGAACGTTTCATCGAACTGTCAACATGCATTGCTGGCTACAAAAGCTACTACAACTACAGAAATGTGATGTTACGAATCATTCGCAATTTAACTCTGATAAATATGTTTTTCCGAAGTTGAACTACAGTGAGGAATCCTACTTTGATCCCCGAACCTTTATCGAGAAGCACTGACTGCTCTGATCTCAACTAAACCGAACCTAGTCCTCAGATTTATTCCTACTGCCACCCTCTCTCTCTCTCTCTCTCTCTCTCTCTCTCTCTCTCGCTCTAAACCTACACCAAAACACTCAAATCCCGAGAATTAACCCACGCTTCAGCAATCGGGATTCGGCTCCCTTTAGAAATACGCACAGTGTCCCAATCTATCATCCGACCCTAAACACACGCTCCAAAATCTAGCTGTTGCAATTTAATGATCTGTGTAAAAACCTCCCCATTGTTCTCCTCCCTCTGCGAGACCATCCAAGACCGTCTTGGGCTGAACGAAATCATAATGCACACTCACATGACCCCGAAACCTCAAACATAACACAAGAAGAAAAAGAAGAGAGTAAAAAAAAACACGAAAAACCCTCCAAAAACCCTCCATACATCGTAAATAAACCCGAGTACAGCTTCTTCAAGTCGCAGACTCGAACAATTGCCTTGGAAAAAATCCAACAGAGATTTCGCAGAGAAAGAAAAAGTCATTCCCCGATTCAGAAACTGCGAAGACCATACGTCAAACGAAGGGGCTGCCCGACACAAACCGAAACATCAAACGAGCCGTTCGGGCTCTACAGTTGCTTGTTTCGCGTGAGAAAACACTCTACGGAATCGGAAAAGGAGCACGGAGACACACATGATGCTGGAATCGACGTGCAGTTTGCACCATGTCGGAGAGGAAGCGGCGAAAGCGACGAGCACGACCACGACGCAGCTCTGGTTCAAGCGTCGAAGCTCGAAGCTCGATGCTCGCGTGTGAATGCTCTTGCCTCGCGGGAATAGGCCCCCGCGAGGAGCTTTTACTTTAATCGGGCATCTCGTTGCTTTCCCTCGCTCCCACTTTTTACGTTTACTTTTTCACTCGTCATTTTAATGCTTATTATAATTATATTATTATTGTCCATAAATGTTGCGAGTCTTGGTGGGTAGGTCTTGTGACTTGTTTGATTTATGAGAGCCTTTGAGTTGCCTTGATTAATTGGCCTTTGCTGAGTTTCACTCTTTGATGTAAAAATCTAGTTTGATGTTATATTAGTTTTTACCAATTTAACAATGTTTTATTGAACACCAATATACCTAATTGATTATTAATGTATGTTTACTTTAAGAGAAAAATACTCAACATCACACAAAGTAGTCGAGGAAATTTATTTTGATATATGAGTTATTGATTTCAAAAACGAATCATCTATATTAAAATGGATGATTTAAAAAAGAAGTACAAAATAAATTGTTAATATGAATGTGATTATTTTCATTACTCTAAACCATCTATATAATGAAACATGACAATTCTAACAAATAAGACGGAAATACTATTTCAAACCCGTTTGTGATTTTTATTTTAAAAAAGTGTCCTTTGTATTTATTATTTGTTATTACAAACTAATATAATTTTACTATACAAATCATCAACTTTTAACCAAGTTTTGGAAATCAGATAATGGCTCCAACATGCCATGAATGTTTTCTAAAGTAATATGAAATATATATATATATATATATATATATATATATGAATTATTCTGTAAACATTTGCTAATATGGTAAACAGTTCAAAGCTTAAGCTGTAAAACACATTTATATATATTTGTGAATGAATGCACATATTACAAATAGGTTATGAACATGAAAATATCAAATAATATTGTATTTTTTTTAATTCAAATGGACTTTTTTAAATTCAGAATATTTAAGCTTTGAAGAATAAAAATTACACATTATTGTTACTAAATCCGTTTTTAGACTATACTTCATTTTTTTAATCTATTTTTTTTTTAAAAATAAAAATATTATGTTGAATCCAACCATCATTCTACATGTATGTTCTATGTGACATTTCAACACACAATTATATATATATATATATAAATATATATATTTATTAATGGCACCACAAATTTTGCTACTGCCACCACAACTCCGCATCTATCACATATGACATTTGTTTAATACGTTTTAACTTTTTTTTATTCAATACTTTTCAAATTATTTGATTGAAAAAAACAAAAAAAAAACAATAGCAAAAATTATAGTAGCATAGACAAAACTATATATATAGATATATATATATATATATATATAGTGTAGTGATTAAACCAATGTTGAGTACGTTTTTGGCAAGCAGGGTGCAAGTTGGGTTCATTTGAACCACCTCCACCACCAACTTGGCTTGTCCCATCTTTTGATTCCAATAGTTTGGCAATAATTGGGTAACTTGGGAATAAATGGATTTAACCATCCTATTACTCCAATCAATGGGATTTTTTGATGCTCCAACCAAACATAGACTGGTCAATTTTTTGTATAGATAGATACTTATGTTGATTATTACAATTTTAATGAATTCACTTCAAAAACTACAGAACACAAGAAAGGGACAGATACCGTAGTTGAATCATTACAAGTGTCTATCCTTTGGGAGTGTCTGCAATTAAAAAATCTAATTTATCAACATTGTAGTACAATGAACGGCACATATTTGTTCTAAATGAAAGTCAGTTCTTCTTGGCTTCTGTTTTCTCTCTTCTGGTTACTGCTTGGAAGTCATTCATGCGCAAAATTTGACAACCACTTGACAAAGGCACAACATATTTACATGGGATTGTATTAACTTTCAGGGTTTTGATGATATGGGTGGTACTTTAACTTACAGTACAATATTATGAGACATGGAACGGAAGTTTTGAGAAAGCTGTGAAGCAAAGGTTGACGTGATACTTACAAGTCATGGCATTCTGAAGTGACATGGATCAACTATGTACACAATATACATATACATATATACATATACATATATACATATACACATATGTATAGATAGTTATATACGGTGGTCAAAGTTAGGTACCAAGAGATAAAGTGGTGTGAAGTGCCATTAGTGCCAAGTGCCAACATCATGCTTTTACGGCGTTGGTTGGAATCTCGCAGCAACCCCAAAGGTCTTCTCCTCAACCCCAACTAGACCCAAGCTGCATCACGCAATTGCATTATTGTCAGAGCAGAGTAACCTACACAGAAACTAAAGAGTGTCTTCATTCCTTTTTCTTCAATCAATGTAAGTTGAACACAACGGATGATTGCGTTTTGCGAATCGTCTGTATGTGTGGAGTAGAATACTCTGGAGATTAGGAATGCATGGGACACAGTTGCATGCTCTTCTGCCAGGGATGATCTCTGGAGTCTGAAACTGAGCTTGTCACTATGTAGTAACCTGCAGCAATTGATGCTACTTTAAACTTACGACAGATAGAGTAGGCATTCAGAGAGACATCAATTGTGATGCAGTCAAAGTCCAGCAACTTAGGCAATTTACATTATTGGGGTTACCATTTATGATAACTGATGAAAACAAGAATGCGCATACAAAAATGTGAGATGTTTGGTTGCTCCTATCCAAGCCACATTGACAAATGTTAGCAGAATGATCGCTTTCACCGCTTGAAACGAGCCCTACCTGCCATGACCAGCGAGATTCATCAAGAAATAGGGCTCTGGAGACATAGCATTTCACACTGAAGTCACCGAACATGAGCGTAATGAAAACCACCCGGCAATAAGTTCGCGTGGACGCACTTTTGGAAAATACCCCCATATTCGAGTACAATATCCATCTTTGAAAGTATGGCCGCAAACAAAGTGAATTGGTCAGTCGTGGTGCTGCTCCTCACATGCTACATCATTGCATTCGCACTTGCCATTGGGGCAGAGGAACGCCGGGCCCAGGTTGACTTCTTACCTCCATGAATCTCTGTTATGCTGGATTTTGCCCAACATATAATTTCGATCATAACGATCTCTGCAAAAATTTAAAACAAGTAAGAGAAACGGCCATAATATGTGCAGATTAGGGGTTTGCGATGTAAGCTACCAAATATCCCGATAAGGATTCCACTGTCTTCTGACCATCAAGCTTGAAACTTTTTCCAATTCATCCGTAAATCCGATCAGAGCTGACATGCACAAACATTTGAATCATAATCGTAATGACTCATGTCAATAAGAATGGTCACCTAAAACTCACTTCCATGTGACAAACTTCGCAGGCAACCGTGACGTACGTCAGCTTCAATTCGTCCGGTGGAAACGTAAGCTGGGTGTTCGATTACTCCAACGCTACAATGAACAACGGAACGCAATACAGTGGATACTACTACTGCAAATATGACTCCGACGTTTCATCATCGTATGCTGTTGCTGCCTTTGTCTTCCTCGCAGTATCCCAAGTGGTTGTCATGGGTTTGACCAAATGCCTCTGCTTCGATGGCGAACACAAGCCTGGGAGCACGAAATCGTGCGCCGTCGTCTCCTTTATCATTCTCTGGTAACCCTCAACCTACGTCTTGTGTCGTATGTATAAGGTGCACCTTCGCGGTCCAATTCAGAGCGAAGCTGAACCATATTGAGGAATCAACAATCTCTGCAGGCTTAGCTTTATAATATCTGAGATATGCTTCTTAGCCGGAGCCAACAAGAATGCGCTCAGGTCTCGACAACGAGAATTCGTAACTGGATATTCAAATGTCGACAAGTACATGACGTGCGAGAACATGCACCGAGGAATATTCGGTGCGGCCGCGGCATTTACCTTCTTCTCAGCTTTAACTGGGGAGCTTTACTACATTTGCTTGGTGACAAGCCGAAGTGTCACCGAGTCACACTGGCAAGGGAGAGACGGGGTAGGCGGCGGCGGTGGAGGCGGTAGCGGAGGGCCGGGTACCAATAGGTCAATGCCGAGCCCGTACGCACTTGCGAGTGATGACTCTCGGGGACTGAACTCCAGTCCAGCGACAGACAGCTTCTATGGAACCAACCGAGGTCTAGCCGGAAACGTCAACAAACCTCAAACGCAGATGGCTCGACAACCCATGCCCAGTCCTTATTCCCTCACTTAAAACTCACCTGTCAAAAACCTTCACGTTCCATCAATCAATTTGTCCAGATTGCTAGTGTTTCAACTCGAGTTATCTGAGCCTAATACACATGTAGCACAAACTTCAAAATACGAGGTTACGAAATGACAGCGTACCTGTGGGGATGCTGGACAACGTCCATCGCAGAACAAACTTTGACTTAGAATTTGAACAAAAAGGAATAGATCCCTGGAGGAACAGAAATCCACTTTGGTTCTTTCTTTAGAGAAAGTGTGTGGTTGAATTTAAGGCAAGAAAAGAAATTTCTAAAATATTCAGAGATTTGTAGATAGGGCCTGAGAACCATGATAGAGCTCAGGACAGAAGACGAATCATGCAAGTCTGCAGTTGCAGAAAAAATGAGATCATATTTACTGAGTTCTGAATCATAGACACAAGTATTCAATGCGCCGTAGCACCGGAGTTGAGGATAAATGATATCCTATTTGTGAATAAAGCCACGATCCCACCTACTCTAAGGCTGGATCTGATTTCTGTGGGATTGCACATAATCTATTCTGCTTCTGACCAAAAAACTTAGATAAATAACCCATGTAAACGACTAGCCACGCAACCTCAACACGTGACACTCAAATCCTCCTTCGACGCCCGCAACCAAAGGAGGTTGTGGCAATAATATTACAAAACTGAATTTCCCACAGCGGGCACCTACGTCTGATCATCGCACTACTGCTCCTTATCTTCAATCAATAAGGGCAATCTCGTCCTGAGAATCTGGGCCAAAAATTTCTGGGCAGCCATCCCACCTTCCTTGCTCTCGTGCTTCCCAGTAGCCTCCAATGTATTCGTAAGTGTCTTTCCCTTTTTCTTTACGAAACCAACGTGGTTGCCAGCCTTTCTCTTGAAGGATCCGTGCCTATTACACCCAACATTCTGAGATCAGCTTCCGGATTAACCTTTGAAAATACCATGATGCCAGTCAAAGAAGGTTGAATCGTACACAAACCAGTCGGTACCTACATGCACTGTCTACTTAGATCTGAATCACAGCACATAAGAGAAGTCGCAACAACACATTCAAGAATAAAACTCCAGCAAGACTTACCCGTCGCTGCTTTTGTTCAAGCCGCAGCTTTTCTGAATTGGCCGCATCAAATTCACCATGCTCTAGATGTTTCTGATCGGGTCTCAACCTTGAATCTGTGGGTGGCAATTTATCCTGCAAAACGAGAAGCACGCTCCATAAATAGCTAAACATTGACAAACCTGTCTAGTTACCATTTTGTTCGACCTCAGAAACGAATTGCAGCAGACTGACGAATATCAACGGAATATCTGTCAAGAATTCAGAAATGGCAGCAACATTTGAGATGATTAGCAGGTCTTGACAGTTCAGATGTTTACCCTAAGCCCAGGCGTGATATCATTCAAAGTCATAGAAAAGGCTGTCAGACCATAACGAGTCATCTTCTCGGGTGGATCAGCGCGACGCCACAACAAAACAGCCTCAGACATAGGGTCATAACTCTTGGGTTTCATTGATATGTCTCCCATTACATAGTACATAGACTCATCCCATTTGCCAAACAAGGTTGCAATTTTCGCTCCACTTCTGTCATGTACAAACCCTTGAACCTGCCAACATCAAATTCGCTAGCACAGATTAACAGAAATTCAAATCAAAAGATGCAAAGTTTAGCCATCTCGAAATGTCAAGTCCATCAAACTGTAAAATGAGATTGGACACGACAAACTTGGATGATCACATGCTAATGCGTGTAGCAAGCTCAGCAGAAATATAACAAACCTGATGAGGGTTGCGATCAATTATTGATTGTTCCTTGAACTTCAATTTTATCGAGTACTCCCGGTTGCCCTGTATGCGCATTGTACCATAATGGTCCACATACAGCTTCCCTAAAATCAAATTGTATATTGATGTTGTGACCTGAACATTATCATAAGTGTCTAGAACAGGTAAGGAATATGAAATTTTAATAATGAGAAGATCTTCTAATATGAATGCACATGTATGTCAAAACACATCCACACGACGCGGATCAGCAAAACCTTACGAATTCAAGTCACGGACAAGCCCAACACTCATGAGTCAGCCTTGCTGAGCGTTACGACTCTAGGTATCCACCAAGTAGTGGGGAAAATTTCTATTTAGTCTTTGTAGGTATTTTTTTAGAACAAAGAAGAGAAAGAAATTGGTATCGAGGGTTCAGAAACAAGTAGATACCTTCGTCCATTGAAAAAGCTCTCCATCATCGAATTGCAGTGACAGAATACCAACAGGATCCACCTGAATAGAACGGCCCCAAAACTTGCTTTTCAAGTTGCTGTCACCCCAAAATTTCCAGCCTCTGCCCTCGCAGTGACATGCCACAATCATTGGATGATGGCTCACCTGAGAGATGAAAAATAAAAACAAAGAACTTCAGATCATTTCGGTTCAGCCGGACCTAAAATTTCTAATAAGAGAGAGACAAGGAGCACATACTAACATCTACAGATTTCAAAATTCAGCTACAAGGCTAATAGATGCGACAGGTCCATAAGACACAAAAAAGCATCATACAATTGAAAACAAAAACCATATCACACCTTTTCGGAGCAGAACCTAAGACCTTTATCAGGGTAATCAGCTTCGTAAGTCTCTCCAAGTAGGGGATTGAAAGGTTTACAAGTACGACCCTCTGTTGAGGCGTAACCTGACACGGCAAAAGCTCCTATATATAGAAGCCTCATGAGGCTATTTCCCTGCATACAGAGAACTTTCCAGTTAGTTTAAAGGACAAGATAGAGAGGCGGAGCAGATCAATAAGCAAAGGAGTAACTAAATGATTGCAAGAATTCAATCAACCACTTTACTCTGCATGAGGGATGAGTAGACAGTAGAAGTATATCTCACCCTCTTCCCATACTCAGCTGCCCTGTCCAAGAGGTAAGAATACTCTACATCCTCAAAACACCGCTGCAAAGATGAGATAGGCTCATTGAAGAAGACTGGTAAGCAGACCTTCGTGAGATCCTTACCAATGTTATCCTTGATCATGGCCCACAAACTCACACTCTTCTCCTTCTCCTTGGGTTCAGGTAAAGATTTTCGTCGAGCCACCTTTGGGTAATCAAAACCCACCATGTCCATATCAACTTCACTGTCTGTAGGAGACTCTGGAAGGTTTTTTTGACAATTCGCAGGGTTCCTAAGAGTATCCCTAGCTTCGAAGAAGATATCATCTTCATCATCAGAGTCTACTTCAACGCCACCCTTGTGACTGTCCGTGTCGTCGTCCGATTCAGAATCGCTTCCTCCTGTTGAAAGGACGCAAAAGAAAAAGTTACCACTCCATTATAACAGGCCAATCTACATTCAACGATAGCTGTTGATTCAAAATACGAACTACTTCCATTAAATGATGACCTGCACCGACATTCAAAAACTGCAATAAGGTTGAATTTTTATTTAAAATATTTAAAATATAGAACTATCATTATTATTACTTTAAAAACTGCACCCTTTACAATACAGGAAAATGCGTGCGTTCAGAGAACAAAACATTACATAACCATTATAGGTGTGGAATGGTCTGCAAAGGACATGGGAGCAGGCGCTGTAAGACAGCTTCAATAGGGAATATTGAACACCACAAGGTAACAAAACAAGGTTCAAACACTTGCATACTTCTAGTTCAGACCCAGCACAGCATCCAGTAGCCATTTGCTTCAAACCCCACAGAAAGAAATCAAACAAGAGCAGTCGCGGGACAGTGGGCAAAAGAATACAAGTAAGAAAAAAATAAAAATAAAAATAAATAAATATATATATATATATATACCGTAATACTTGAGTTCATGAAGCCCAACTTCGCCTGCTTGACTTTGCATTTCATCCACAACGGTTTTCTCCAACTCCACTTTCTCAGCCTGTACAGCAAAAGTCTTGGCCATCAACAGAACTTGATTTCACGAATGAAATCCTCCAACACCCATATCTACCTCTTTGTCTTCTTCCAGATTTACAATCCCACAACAGCAGTGCCACCAGCACCAAAGATCCCAGGTGCACATGCGACTAAGTCACCCTAGCATCGAGTGCATAAGGCATCATGAAATTCATTGGTCGACAGAAGAGTTTGTGGAATCCACCGCTATCCAATGCCATATCTATGTCCATCGAAAACAGTGCTGATCGAATCCTATAACATATCTGTAATTCCCAGTAAAGGATGTAGTAATGTACCTCCAGCAGCTTCAATCTTTCGAGCAGAGTCAGACGTCGCTGTTGCATCACTTTCAATTGTTCCTTTACAACTGAAAATTCTGCCAGCATTACATCCTCAGACTCCTTCACCTTCTCTTCGCTTATTCCAAACTCCAGAAGCTTTTTTCTCAACTTATCAGTAGAAATTGTAATTTCTTCTGATGGGGTCACTACACCAATGAGCTGTGAATCCCGAGGAAACATTTCCTTGGCCGCGTTCAACATCATTACCCAGTCATTCCTGTCAGTGCTGGTCTCTGCTCGGAGGTGCAGCGTTTTCGTTCCCGTGTGGATATAAAACTTCTTATCGTCTGACCGGCTCATGCGTAGGGAAGCCACCTAGACATAGACACAATTGACGGAAATCCCGGCACACGTCAGTAAGATGGTTCTCAAGACAGCAGAACGACACGGAGGAATCATCACAAAATCAAAGAAATCGACATATTTCGGGAACAAGTCGAACTAACGACTTACATAATCTGAGCCCACTCACGCACACAACTAAGGCACAAAATTCGGTTTGAGACAACACTTGAGAGACAACTGACTCTACTTGTGCATGTATGGCCAAATTGACATTACCACAACACCGACAGGAAAATAAATATTAAAAAATGCAGCTACTTTAAGATTCAAAATGGAGTTTAAACCGCAATTTCTGGCCAAACCTCGGATAAATCATCTTAAAATAAGAAACAAATGAATATATAAACAAACAAAAGCACATCTAATTATAGGCGACAACGGGTTCTTCCAAACTGACACCAAAAAAATTATAGTTAAGAAAAACAAGACGAATAAAAGACTAAAATGCCACAAAATTAACACGTAAAAAGGAGTTCAAAATAACGACTAAACTGACGAAGTAACCTGACCTCTACGAAGCAGACCACGGCGTTGAACGCAATTCATAGGTCAACTAACACAACTGTCGAAAAGTCAAACAATAGATGGTTAGAAAATAAACTGCTCCGAGCGCTTCTCGCAGTGGAGTGTCGGACCAGACTATTGAAAACACAATCGAACGACGAACTTCGGCTAGCCCCGGAGATCTTAGCACCGTCTTTCCAACCACATATGCCAGGTATGTCCACGGTTGAATACACGGTTTGTCAGGTTCAACATATTTTCACGATTGAATGCACGGATAAATTAGCTCTTCCAAGGTTTGTGCTCGCAATGTAAACATCCGAGGAGGCAATGTGACCTTGAAAACTGATGTTAAGTCAATATCACTCGCGTTCAAAAGATTGAAAAGGTAAATACTGTTCTCTCTGAATCTGCATACCTTAAGGTGGATCTTTCCAGACGCTGTTGATAGGCTTAAATCACCACTGTGCGGATGTGTGTGCGAAGGCTTTTGCTTCTTCACGAATCTCTGCGCCTCTTCCCCCATAATTCGGAAATTCTTAAATCTATCATCATTACACGTGACTTTCTCTGGACCATGAACCTTGTAGTATGAGAACACGCCCTCCTTCAATGCGAACAGGCGAGGACGCCATCCCTTCCCAAAATTCACCCACTTGTATAAAATTCCAACCACATCATTGTTCAATACACCCCCTGGTGGTGTGGCGCTCGCCACTGTGTCAACAACATGAAAGAGCTCTCCAGAGAAATTGGTAGCAGTCTTCATGCCCCCCTCCGGAGTAATTTTGAAGACCTTTCCCGTCCCAGGCGGAAGATCCGATACTGACCGATCATGATGCACACGACCACTTCCATCCACCTTCTTCTCAACCTGCTGTGCGCCACTACGAGTTCCCCATCCATTGCTCTTCGAACAACTAAGGGGCGGCAAAGGTGCTGGGGTCGCCAAAGCTCGGTACGAATTCGGAAGGCTGTGCCCGATGTGATTACTGCTATTATTCATTCCCCCTTGCTGATAGTTACCAGAGGCCAAGGAAATCGCATTCTGGCGGTCCTTGAAGGATCGCTGCGCAGTATTGGACTCGGACGAAGACAAAAACACCTTGCCGTTGCCCGCTCCCCCTTTCGGTTCCTCGTTCTCCATGGGCACAGGCGCGATGCAGCACAGCGAATGCATTCAAGCTCGTCAGGTGGCATGCATCCCTTTTCCCCGCCTCCCTTCACCCACGCCCCTGGCCAACGTACCACCAACCCTTCCAATATTCCCTACCTTCGCTCTTCATCCATCGGTCACCACCTCTCTACCATCACCACTACCTCCAGCACCATCCACTAGACTGCTCACTCAACACCTCCTCCTCGCCACAAATACGCTGCGAAAAAACTTCAATAATCTGCACCGAAAAAAAAGCATTCACACCGACACCTCCACACTCTCCGCCATTGACGACACACCTCCGGCCGCACGCGATCCAGCAAACAACCCCAACCGCAATGCCGTTCGGGGTCCACCTTCACCCCGTCGTGTATTCACTCACCCGCGCTCACCTCGTATTTCCTAACAGACGCTAAAAATCCACCTCGGTGTAGAGTCGATTTGGTGAGCGAGATGGCTCGATGCGGAGCTGTGGACCACACGGCGCAGAGCAGAGCTGTCCCGCCAGGAAAACTCACTACCACGACATGGGAAGGAAGATGGCGGGGTAGCTGCCGCCCCGCCCCGCATCTCTCACTCGCTCTCTCTCTCGCTGTGCCTCCTCTTCCTCCTCCGCGTTGCACTGCACCTTCCTTCACTCACTCACTCACTCCCTCGTAAAGCCTTTTCCTTCCTTCTTTCCTTCCTTCGTCCCGGCTTTACCCCGCCCCGGAGCGGTTACTCTCTCACACCGGGGTTAGGTTCTGTTCTAACCCCGCCCTACGATACAGATTTTGAATATTCGTTCTTATATTCCCTTTCCCTTGACTTGCACTCCCAGTCTCCATAAACGTATCTCAACTACCATGATTCATTGGATATCCACGTTGTCATCTGTCTCACTGCGTATGGTGGGGGACTCCACAAGTTAGAGAGAGGAGGGAAATTGAAGCCAACGACTTACATGTATGATGGATGGATGATTTTGGGATATGCTTTAGGGGAGAGTAAAGGCACCTTAATTTGTTCCCTTCTGCCTACTCCTTTGCATGATTGGCTCATCGGAAGCTTCACCAAGATTGACTTCTAGGTTCCTCCCCTTTTTCCTGTTTCGTAAAAATAAGAGTGAGATGCGGAAAAGTGTTTGGTTCGTTAGTTCAAGGTGTGTCAAAGCTTTTCCGTTTCAATTGAAATTTTGAGTTTAAATGACTACATAAAAAAAACACAGAACCCACCAGTGGAAACTGAAATAGTTATGTATGTATGTATGCAAGAATTATACACAATTTTAATTTCGATATTTTTTCAATTCATTAATTGCAAAAGTAAACATATGAATCTCGTTTCCCCAATTCACTAAAAGTGGGGAAGTCATAACATTGCATCTACATCATTTTGGTTTTGAGCAAGTTTTGGTATATGCTTGTAGACTCTATTTGGTATATGTACATATACATAAATACATAAACACTCTTAGCACGTAACTTATATATATATATATATATATATATATATATAACATGTATATGATTATATACCAAACAGCGTGTTCACATATTCAACACGGAACTTTGTAAAAGTAATCACGTTTGTCTCAGAATACTTAATTAAAATGCACTGTTTTCAATCGACACCACCAGAAACACAACAACTTTAAAGAAAATCAGGACACTAACACTACTCTACAGTGAACAAGAGCAGAAAACGGAATCAAAAGTAGACCCAGGGAATTTTCAGAGCGAATTTTATAATCAATCGAAACCCACAATATAATTTGGCTTGTACTGAATCGCTCATGAATAGAAGCAGACAGAGAACAGCATGTTTGGGGGAGTCAAGGCGCAGTATGCCACCAGATGGTTCTAACGTTCCCAAACTCTCTCGTCGCACGTTCTATTCTGGGGGGAGATCAACCACTCCTAGGAGACTTCGCGGACTAGCTACGCACATTCCACGGAAATCGGACCTGGCTGACGTGGGCAGAAGAACGATTTGCACGCGGAACGTCACCTCAAGTGAGTGGGAAGACGAGGGGGCAGAAGGGGACAGTTCCCACATCCCGGCGTGTCAGGAAAAGAGGAGGTGCTTTTTCCAAGCCTTCGGGCATCTACGGAGGGGCATACTTCAGGTATACTTCCGGCATACTCCGGGCCTAGTCTTCCAACAAGAGCCCCGCTCCCAAAATATGATGCATAGTCCTCATTCGTCCACTTTCATTACTCTGTTGAGTAGGTATAACTAAAGGGGAATGTTAAGCAGACCCTTGATGTGTATATGTAGTGAAATCCTGGGTCTATTTAACATTCCATGTATCTATGTATAAATTTAAAAAATAGAAAAGATTTTATTCTGACAACGCTGAATCGTACTGGAAGGATTGCAGCGAGGAATTCGTTGTTTCCTGCGATGAGATCCTCCGCGAACCGCACCATCAGTGTCGACCACGAGTCTGACGTGGTTTCAACAAGCGCAATGAAAATGTGGTTGGAGTTTTGAAATCGCAAGCCATCGCCAACGCAACTTCGCTTTTGAAATATGATCGGCTGGTTTCAATAAGTGCCCTAATTTATTGACCCTCGTGCCCTACTAGATTGTAGGGTGTACTCTGCTCTGTTTGTACTTGTTGCGTCCTAGTCTTGTGTGGGTTTCAGAGGGTTAGTTATCAGCATTCCGGTACGTGGTCATTTCATGGAGATTATCACGTTTTCAGAGTCTCGTGCAATGATGCCTAAAGACGCTTGGTGTTCTCAAGCACTCGCGAGCCTCTTGTTTCATCCTTGCACAATTTCAAGTACCCCTATCCTGTGAAGATTGCGTTCGTGGGTGCAGTGAGTCCTTTGCACCGCGTTTCAAGTGCTTTTTTGTTTCTCTACGTAGCGTGAGTGTCCTGCAAGGAGAGCACAGCCCTCAGTGGCGGCGAATTCACATGCTATTGTTTCTCTACATATCGTGAGTGTCCTGCACGCGGGGCATTGCTTTCAGTGGAGGCGAAATTTGGAGCGGTTGCTTTCTTTATGACTTAGTCCACAGGCTCCGTTGAACTCGTCACAAGTTGCAGATTCAATGCGTGCAATCCACGCATCAGTCCGATAGCCGCCAACTCTGTCTTCATGTCGTGAGATGTGCTGAATTCCGCGATAAGCTTTCAGAAGCGCCCCGAGATTACTTTGAGCGTGCGCGGAGACAAAGTGGCCTGCAGCTTCGATAGCAATCCACAAAGATTGCGCAGCATGGTGTGATGGGACCAAATGGCACAGAAGATGATATCTCTGATCTCCGTTTCAGAGACTCTTGCTCTCCGAAAATGCTCAAAATGCATCTCAGCAGGATGTCAAGGATGTGCTGAGCGAATGGATGGGTGGATGAATGAAACGGATTCAGTAGATGAATGAATTAATGGATATATGGATGAAGTGGTGGAAATCACTTTGGTAATTGGAGATGAAATTTACAAGTTTTCTTTGTTGCGATTGTCTTTTTGAATATGATGTTTTCTTTAAGTTCGTTTCATTGCATTTCTAAGTTTAAAATCAAATTAATGGCACTGATTTTATGTATATACCTCAAGACTATATAGTATTTTTTAAGTAAAAAATGCATCATAAATTATTCATCATGATTTTTTGTATGTTGTTTATAGTGCTTATCAGCACAAGTTGATAGTTTACTTATGGATATATTTTTTTGCTTAAAGATGGTAAAAATTACTAAAAAAATATTATTAATTATTTGTATAAAATAAAAGAAAAAAATTATTGTAATATATATATATATATATATATATATATATATATATATACATACAAGAAGATTTATCAACTATATGATAAATTTTACCATATATATATTGTACCAATATTAAATTTACAAAATTGGATCCTTTTATGTACAAATTTTCAATGGCATATAGTTTGAACTTAATAAAAATTGTTATCCAACTTTGTTAAGTTATACTTTTAACTATAATATCCTAAATATTGTTGTGTCTTTCAAACAAAATTCTCTCAAATAATTGACTTTTTTGAATTAAGAGTATTCCTTATGCAATGCAAAAGTCAATTCCAAAGGAGATTCAATATATAGTAACACTAAATAATAAACCTAAAATATATCAAGCTAATGATTTAAGTATAGTTTGCACAATCTATAAATTACAATAATTCCTCTCAAACTTTGCAAGTAAATTTGAAAGAATTAGAAGTTGAAAGATAAAATGGTAAGAATGCACATAAGAGTCTTGTTGTTACAACTTTAATGAGAGAATTCATTGTAATATAAGTTTTGATACTAAATTTATAGGTTTTCAATATGCAGCTTCTTTCTTTGATAAATGTTGTGGTTAGCTTTTGTATATATATATATATATATATGGTTGTTAAATTTTATTTTTAAGAAAAAAAAAAAAAAAACCAAACAAAACAAAAACAAACAAACAAACATACAAGAAGCATTTTATTATAAACAATATAAAGCTCTTGCTCCAATTGATATTTATCTTCTTTTTGATATTAAAGCTTTTGTAACATTGTGCAATTGTTATTCTTTTGTCATAGATGATGGCAAAAATTTAGTACAAAGTTTTTTTAGGATATGTGTTGAATGAGAGAATAATTAGTAGTAAGACAAATTCAACATATTTATAGATTGACATTACATAAGGCAAAGTAGGTATAAGCTATTTAACAAGAGTATAAACCAAGGCTTTATTGGACATAGGTAGATTGTGAAAAATAAGTCAATAGCTCTAAAGGGGCAAAATATAGAAGTTTTAGACAAGTAAAAAAAAACAAATAGATGGCTAAGAGATAATTAAAATATATTAGATATTACAATAGGGCCAATTAGAATTCTATCACATAGGATTTTTTTAATAACCTAAGGACTTTGTAAATAAGTGCATTTGTTGATTTTTTGATAAAATAAAATTTACTTGAATTATTATATCTTTAGATTTTTTAAAATTTAATAATATTAGATTTCAAAATATTTAATTTGTATATGCATGATTAAATTTTGGATGAGACAAATGCTATTAATATTGTAACAAATATTGATTCTTGATCCTTAAAATTTGATTTAGAGTTCTTTGAAGATGTAATAAAGATAAGTGATATTATATGTTGTTTCTAACAATACTATGCATTCAAATTTGGTTGATAAAAGAGCTTGAATATGTTGTAATTTGCTAAACCAAGCTATTATAACATTTTTTAGTTTGTATAAAATATATAAAGTTGAATATTAAAAATCAGAGTCTTTTATTTAGTTAGTATTGATATAAAAAATTGACTTGATAAAGATTGTATATTGGATAGATATATTGTGATAAAAAGTATCTTTTAGATATTTAAGAATAAATTTGATTACTATAAAGTGTTCTAACTAAGAATTTATGAGGCATCTAAAAACAAAATTGATAACAAATTATATATTCCATTTGATGATTGTAGCAATTTTTCAAAGACATGAATTTTAAAGAAAAAAAATCTCAATACATTCTTGTACTACTTAAAAATACTAAGAAATCACTCAAATATAATAAAATATTGAACTAGAATGGCTATTGCTAAAGACAAAAAGATTAGAAAGTCTTGAAACATGACTAAGAACTAAAACGACATTGATAAGAATGAAAAAGGCTTCACTTTTGCCTCCATATATACTCTCTAACTAATAGTTATGTGGCAATATTCTATAAGTTCTTTAATACATGTTGATTTTTTTAGACACATG